GTCCCTGCCCTGTCCCTGCCCTGTCCCTGTCCCTGTCCCTGCCCTGTGCTGCTGCTGCTGCTCTCCTTACCCAGCTTCTCCCTCCCAGCCTTTGCCCCCTCTCTGCTCCCCCCCAGCCCTGCCCTGTCCCTTGTCCCTCCCCAGTCGCATCCCTGGAGCAATCCAGGCTCGGCTGGCACAGCTTTTCCCCCCAAATCCTCATCCTTAGGCCTTCCCAGGGTTTGCAGCAGTGAGTGGGGAGGGCAGGTCACCTCTGTGGCGCTGTTTGAGCTGTTTGAGCTGGGCCTGTTCATCTGCAAACACTTCCCCGGGTCTGAGCGGCTCCCACTGACATTTATGGAGCGCCTGACACAGGCCCCGTGCCTGGGGCTGCCTGGGAGAGCCCCGGGTCCCCCCCTCTCTCCTGGGGACTGCTGGGATTCGCTTCTCCCCTCCCAAACTCACTTTGGTTCTGCGGCCCTTTATAAGGTTTCAAAAAAATCCTGCAGGAGATTTCGCCCCGTGGCTGGAGCTGAGGGCAGCACACACAGTGGGGAGGGGGGGCTTCTGGAGGTAAATATTGGCACGAGCTGGGAGTTGGGGACATCCAGGGGAAAACAGCACTGGGAGGGGTCTGCAAAGGTGCCTGGGATCAGTGGGTTCCAGAACAGAGAGGGGGGATTGGCAGGGATGGGGGATTGGCAGGGAGGGGCGATTTTCAGGGCAGGTCTTTGGGGAAACACTGGCAGTGACCCTGCTGCCAGTGCAGAAGCCATGGAATCCTGGAATATCCCGAGCTGGAAGGAACCCCCAGGGACCATCGAGTCCAACTGTGCACACGACCATCCCAAAATCCCACCCTGCCCCTGGGAGAGCTGTCCAAACCCTCCTCGAGCTCTGGCAGGCCTGGGACCACAGCCACTCCCTGGGGAGCTGTTCCTGTGCCCAACCACCCTCTGGGGGAAGAACGGGATTTTTAAAATCAATTCTTTTCCTAAACCCCTCCCGACACAGCAGGTGGGAGGCCTGGGAAGGCTCCCAGGAGGGAAAGAGGGTGCACTTGAGGAGGACCAAGTACCTGCTAATGCTCCCGGCCCCCCGGTGCCCCCCAGTCCCCGTGGCAGCCCCCGGGGGCTCAGTGGGTACTCACTGTCCAGGCAGGGCTCACACACGGTCTGGTTGACCCCGCAGGGCTGCACCACCCCCTCGCCCAGGTTGCAGGCTCGGCAGCACTCCCCGCTCGTCGTGTACATCTTGGTGGAGCACTTGTCCTTGGAGCCCCAGGAGGGAGCCTGGCAGAGAGAACAGAGCCAGGACACGGCTCCTGTGATGACGGGGCGGGGGGAAGTGGCACCAGGCAGAGCCCTGCCCTGGGTGACATCCCACACCACACACAGTGAACCGACTTTCCTGTGCCAAACTCACCCACCAGGAAAGGCCCTGCTGGATTCTGCAGTTGGAGGGAGGCAGGAAAGCCCCCGGGAGGGTATTTTGGGGGTGATGGGGGCTTTTCCCCCCAGTTACAGCACTGTTGGTTCTTGTCTCTCACCTGAGCCCTGTCCCCTAAGGACACTTTGCCATCCTGAGGGGCTCAGCCCTTCCCAGCCTGGGGAAAGGGACAGGGGAGGAGACCCCGGGAAAAGGGGGAGGGCAGGAGACCTTCCTGCCACAGAGGAGGGTTTGGAGAGCTCGGGTGGCAGCTCTGCAGCCCGAGATCCCGTGGGGACCAGAAACCGGGAAGGAAAGGAAGGTTCGAAGGGAGCACCAGCGACATTCCCACCTCATGGAAGTGTCTCTGCTTATAAAACCTGCCAGCACAGATGGAAGCCACAGATGTGCCACGAGCCACCCTCAGGGGCACTTTGCAGCCCGGGGGGTGGGGACCTGACCCCCAGAAACACCTCTTGGGGTGCAGGAGGCGTCTCTGCCCGGCTGAGATGCTCGCGGGGGTTTGAGCTCTTCCAGGGCTCTCTTTTCTCCCTGTGCTCATAAGCAGGTGCGTTCCAGGGCCGGCCCATCCCTCTGCCAGCCCGATTTTGGGGGGGAAGCGGCTCGGCCGAGGCTCGGAGGAGCTCCCCTCCCCTCCCCGCGCATCTGGATGCCTCGTCAGCCCCTTGGCCGCCTCTCCCCGCACAATGCGGCGCGTTATGAACCCGCGGCGCATCAGCCGCCGGCATCCGGCCGGGCCGAGACAATGGAGCGCCAATTATAGGCATCTGAATGACAAACTGCTCCAATTACCCCGCGCTGGAGAGCCCGCGCTCCCCTCCCCGCCGCCGCTCCGCCGGCCCGGCCCCGGTCCAGCCCCGGTCCAGCCCCGGTCCAGCCCCGCTCCAGCCGGGCGGGCAGGAGGGATGTGCTGGGCGGGGGAGCTCCCCAGCACCCCCAGATTTCAGCTGGGATATCAGTCCGGGGGTTGCTTTGCAGCGGGGGGGCCACACGCGTGTCCTGGGGGGCAGATTCGGCTCGTGGGGCTTCGGAACCGACCTGGCTGGACCCGGTCCCGCTGCCGGAGGGGTGTCCCCGCCCTGGGGTTGGGGTTTGCCCCGCTCCCACCTCCTCAGGGATGATTTTGCAGCATCCCGGCGGGGCTGGGGGAGCAGCCGAACGTGCCTGGCTATAAATAGTGCCGGGACGGCGCGGGCAGTGCAGCTGGGCCGGCACATCCAGCTCTCCCACGCCGCGGGCAGCTGCGAGCTGCGCCCGCGGGGACGGACCCGGCCGCGCTCCTTCCTCTGCGCGACACCCGGGACACCCCAGAGACCCCCCCGGCCACACGTGCCCCTCCCAGGAGCGGTCAGTGCCACCCCCCTGCCCCGTGCCCCCCATCCACGCTCCCAAATGCTGCGGGAAACGCCACTTCCAGCCCCAGGTGCTGCTCCCCCCTCGCTCGCTCTCCCGCCTTTCCCTTTCGCTTCTGAACCCCCCAAAGATCAACGCGCTCGGAAAGGGCACCTGGCCCGCGTTAGCTCGCTGAAATGTGTCTGTTATTAACACAACTCCTGTTGACAAAGCCGCAGGTATTAACACCATAAAGCATTTTGACAGCTGGGCCGGGGAGGGGGCACGGGCGGAGGGCGCAGGCGACACCTCTGAGAGCCCTTAATTGCTTTCGGAGCCGTGTCGGGGGGGGAAGTTGTGTCCTGGCAGGCACAGCTGGAGGAGAGGGACGTGGAGGGAGCAGCTCGAAGCGGGATTTGGGCAGAGCCCCGGAGCCCTGGCACCGCAAACCGCCCCGGAGCGGGGAAGGCAGGGGATGCTCCAGCTGGAGGGGAGCCCGGCGGGCGAGCCTGGATCCGAGCTGCCCCCGAGCCTGACAGGCGGGCTCTCCCGCTCTTGGCGAGGCATCCCGTCTGGGAAAGGCCAAACCTCCGGCTCCGAGCAACCCCCGAGGTTTGGGCAGCCGAGGAAGCCACGTGTGAGCTCCGCGGGTCCGGCCCGGGAGGGTTCTGCCCCCTCCCCTGCAGGTACAGACCCCGCACAGGGGCTGCCCGGGCTTTGGGTGGTCCCGGCGCCGCGGGCACAGCTCTGGGGGCACATCTGGACGTTCCCGGGTGAGGGATCGCGGGGTCTCAGCAGGTGTAATGCCGGGGGCAGAACCAGCCCCCCGGGGGCGATGGTTGAGCTCAGCCCTGAGCCGGAGCAGCGGCCCGGGGGGTTTGGGGGACACAAAACCCGGCCCTGCTGCAGCTGATGGGGGGGGCTGCGGGTCATTCCCTGGGGGCAAATCCTTTGAATCCATATGGCTGGACAAGAATCCCTCCTTGTCTTTCCTGCCACGAGCCTCCCGGGGGAAGGAGACCCTCCGGCCAAGCCCCCTCCCCTCCTCAGTCTCTGCGTGAAGCCGACAAAGCTCCGGCTTTAATATCCTGCCCGAGGGGTGTCCGGCTGCCGAACGAACCCCCCGGGACCCCCGTCAAACCCTCCCCCAACAAAAGCCCTGTTTCTGCCCCAGAAGGGGGGTCCAGCCCCCCGTGCCCACCCGGCCGCTCCACTCCGGGCACTCCCCTCTCCCCAGGCCCCCCCCGCGCCCCGAAGTTTTTTGTCTGCGGCACACGCCGAGGCTGCGCCCATCGCGGGGCTCCGACGGGAGGGAGGGGGTCTCGCCCTTTGCTCTGGGAGAGTTGGGAGCCGGGAAAGTCTGGGAGAGATCTGGGGGGCCGCGGGATGGCGGGAGATGAAGGCACGGGGGGTGTGGGTGGCTTCTCCCCCGCTGACCGAGGGCTCTGCCATCCTTTTCTCCCCGGGTAAAAGGGCTGGCAGAGCCCTGTGCAGCGGGGACAGAGGGGCTGCGGGACCCCCATCACCAGCCACCTCCCCGCGCCCCCTCCCTCCTCACCCCAAGAACTCCGCCTGGCGCTGCCGCTGCCTTCCCGCTGCCCCCGGGACGGGGACCCCCGGGACCTCCCGCCCCGCACCCCCGGGGCTTCCCATCCCGGTGCATGTGGGACCCCCGGGACCCTCCTAATATCTCTGTGAGGTGCCTCCGGGACCCTCCATCCCACCCCCACCTGATGCCTCGGGGACCCTCCATCCCGGCACCCCGGGACCCTCCATCCCACCCCCGCGGGTGCCTGCGGGGACCGTGGGCGCTCCCCCCGGGCCGCCGCTCCCGCACTCACCGCCGGCAGCAGGAGCAGCAGCAGCGGCAGGAGCCCGGCCATGGTGCGCGGGGGCAGCGGGGACCCCCCACCCGAGAGCCGCTGCGGGGCCGCGACCTCCCCCCCAAAAAGCCGGTGCGCGGCCGGGCTGCCCCTGCCCTCCCTCTGCCGCCGCCGCCTCGGCGGCAGCCAGAAAAGGCTGCAAGTCCCTCCTCCTCCTCCTCCTCCTCCTCTCCGCCCCCGGAGCATCACGGCGAGCGGCCGAGCCCGCACCTCCTCCGCCGCCACACAAAGCAGGGCCCCCCCCGAGCCCCCCCGAGCCCCCCCGGCCCCGCCGCCCTCCCACAAAGCGCTCTCGGGGCGCGCTCGGTCTCGGTCCGGCCGCGGCTCTTGAGCCCCTCGGCTGTTCAGGTTGTTCACGCCCTTCCCTCTGTCTCCATTCACCCTCCCCTGCTGTCTGTCTGTCCGTCCGTTCATCCAGCTCTCCGGGCCCCCCCAACGCCCACGTCCGTCTGTCTGTCCCTGTCCGCCGCTCCCCGTCCCCGCGGTGGGTTCGTTCGTGACGCTGCAGCCCCGGGGAGATGCTCCGTGCCCGGGATGGGGTGTCCGGCTGCTGGGACAAGGAATAACATCCACCTGGGTCGGGGACATCCCCAGGACTCGGCCCCCGAGGTCTGTCCCAGCCATCCAGGTGACACAGAGAAGCTCCCAATGGGATCCAAATTCCCCTTTGGACCAAAAAAAAAAATAAATCCATATTGACGTCCTTTGGCTCCCAAAACTCTCCCTGTGTGCCCTCTCCTTTGTCCTGGAGCTCCCAGCTTCCCTGGGATGGCTCTGCCCGCTGTCCCTGCCATCCCAGACCCCACAGAGATGGGGGCTGGAGGTGTCAGGGCTCGTCCCTCTTCCTGCCTGGCTGTGTCAGCACCAGGAACGCTCCTTGTGGGGCTCCCTGGAACAATGCAGTGGGTTTGCAGGTGGCCCTGGCCGAGGAGGGTGGCTGGGGATGGCCCTGTCCCAGGAGGGTGGCTGGGGATGGCCCTGTCACTCTGTCACTGCTCCCGGGGAGGCTCCTGCAGAGGGGGCAGAGGAGAGACCTTCCCTGTCTGACTCTGGGTTCGGCCTCGTGTCCCTCTAACACAGGTGCTTCCTCACCCCCGGGCTCTGCAGGTGCTTTTGGGGTCCCCAGAGCGATGTTCAGCTCCAGCATTCCCAGCACTGCAGCCCCTGGAGCCCCCCCAGCTCCCCGTGACCCCCCAGGATCCTCCCCTGGCTCCCATCTCCCCGTCCAGGCAGCAAAGCACCCGGGGCTCATCCCAGCTCAGCTGGATTTCCTCTGGAAAAGCCAATTACTGGCTCTCCAAGGTGCAGGAGGTCGGCTGCCCCCATCCAGCCCGTGCTGCCCTGTCAGGGAAGGGCTTTAAGGAATTCCCTGAGCTTTTCCATGAGACTGAACCGGAGCCAGAGCTGCCGTTTGTTCTCCGGCAGGGACGGGCAGGAGCACATGTGGGAGCCACATGGGGAAGGGATTCCCGGCCAAAAAGCCACGCTGGGGCCGGGGGGGCCGGGGGCAGGATGTGCCCGGGGGGCTGGGGGGTCGGGATGCCCACCCCGGGGTCAGGATGGGCAGCGAGAGGCCGAGCATCCCACTCTGGATGGGCGGGAATGGGGATCCCGGATGGGCGGGAATGGGACCGAGCGGCTGCGGACACAGGGCAGGGCTGGCCCAGCGGGGGAGCAGCCGGGGGATCCCACAATTCATTTGCCACAGCAAGTGGCAGATCCAGCTGTTTTCCTTGGATAAATCCCTCCTCTCCTTCCCCCTCCCTCCCGCAGGGTTCGGGGCTGTGGATCCACGTGCTGGGGACACTTCCCTGGGGGAGCAGTCCCTGAGCCTCTTCCCGAGCCTGGTGCCAGCGTGGGAATCATCCCTGGAGAAAGGCAGTGCTGGAGCTCAGCTGGGCTCCACGTGCTGGGCCAGCAGCCAGCCAAGGTAAGTGAAAACTTCTGCTCCCGCCCCGCGGCTCCTTTGCTGAGGGGGCTTCCCGGGAAATCACTTCCCCCCTTCCCAAAAAAGGCTGCAGCCCTTCCCCAGCTCCACGGGGCGACAAAGAGCCCATTAAAACTCTGCCTGGAATCCAGACCAAAGGCTCCGGGGGTTTGTTTGCTGGGGGAGCATCCTCTGGGCTGCTGGTGGGAGAGGAAGCTCTCGGAGCCGCTGCAATTCCATTTGGGATCCACCAAAAATCACCTCCACCTGCCCTTGGCTCCCCCAGGGAAGCTCGTGGCCGTCAAGGTGGCCCAAAATTGGGTGCCAGTGATGCTGCCACTCCCGCTGTGCCACAGTGGGACGATGCCACAGGCACTGGCAGAGCCGAGAGCGGGTCAGGGAGCGGGTTTGGGCTCGGAAGAACAAAAAGAAGCTTCCATTGGTTTGGGTTTTTTTTGTTGTTGGCTCCCGACCTCCCTCCGGGCTGGGGGGGTCGTGCATGGAGGGGTTTCCCCCCTGGAGAGGCTCCCAACTGCTTGGCTGCCCCAAACAGGGCAGGTTCAATGAGCAAAACCCCGTGTGCAGCTCGGTGAGATCCTGGGTCAGTCCCTCTCCAGAGCAGCACCCTCAGGATGACTCTCACCCCCTCCTTATCCTTCAGGCCTTCCCACAACCACTTCCAGAGGTGCCCAGGCAAACCCAGGAGATGCCTCTCCCCGCTCCTGCCGCCCCCAAAGACAGAGCAGGAGTTAAACACTTGGTGCCAGCTCCAAGTTTTTACTGCTTTTACTCCAAAGCAGAGGTAATTACCTTCCCGACAGAGAGACAGACCAGTAATGGGAAGTTATAAATAACGATGAATAAATAATACACAGTGGGAAATTGTCCTCCTGCTCTTCACAGCCAGGGCTGGGAGCACAAGGAGAGTTCAGGGGGAGCAGAGGGGCCCTGGGAGCAGGGGACGGTTCCTGATCCCCGTCTGCTCCAGGGGAAGGGGACCCTGCACTGCCCGTGTCCTGGGGGGAAAAATCCCTTCCAAGGGGGAAAGGGAGGAAATTCAGGGTGGAAATCAGGCTCTGGGTTATCTCACTGCCCTGGGAGCCAGCGGAGTGTGGGACAGTCTCTGTGGGATGGAGAGGGATTCGTGGCAAGAAGGCACCTTTTGGATAATCCATAATGTCTTTTCAAGGGGGATAAAAAAAAAAGAAGAGGAAAAATCATTTGGTTTGAACTCTCCAGCCCAGCTTGGCCGGGAAATCTGCACCTTGGGCCACTGGGCAGGAGCCCAGCCCGTGGCTGGAGAGCAGGAATTGAGGGTTCCCGTGGTCCCCAATCCTCTGGTTCTCCTTGGGATCGATGGGATTCAGGCACTCAAAGCCCGTCAGGCTGGAGGGCAAGGCCAGGGAAGGGGCACCTCCTGTGCTCCCACCCCTGCTCCGGGTCCCTGCCAGCTCCAAACCCGCCCGGGATGCAGGGATGGGAAGATCAGCTGCTCCTGGAGCCAGAGGGATGGGAAGATCAGCTGCTCCTGGAGCTGCTGGAAACCCTCCCCGGCTGGAGGGGAACCAGCGCCGGCAGAGTCCGGCCCGGCCGCCCACAGAGGAGTTTTACCATTCAGGGAAAACTGTTCCCTGGATTCAGGCAGGGAGGGACCGTCCCTGACCCCTCCCACTCCTCCCTTCCCCCTGGGCCTGCTCATCCCGGCTGGGCCTTGGATGCAGCCGGAGGGAAACGGGAAACGGGGGTGCTCGGAAAAATCGGGGGGTGATTCCCACAGGGATGGGGTTCAGTTATTCCCACAGGGATGGGGTTCAGTTATTCCCACAGGGATGGGGCTCAGTTATTCCTGCAGCAATTGGGGTTCGGTTATTCCCACATGGATGGGGTTCAGTTATTCCCATGGGAATGGGGCTCAGCTGGAGCACAGCATCCCGACCAGGTGGTTCAGGTGTTTCCCTCCTGGCTCGGGGTGGGAGATGACACCATTCCCACGCTGGCATCTCCAGCCCTTTGGACACACCTGGATGGACACCACGGCCAGTGTTGGCACTGCAGGTGGATCAGGGAAGGATGAATCCCAGTGGGAGGGACTGCAGGGCTCAGGGACACGTGGGACACGTGGGACACGTGGGTTGGGGCCACCCCGGTGCTGTCTGGGGGCTCCTGAGCACAGATGTCACTTGGCCGTGGCCCAAAATCGCTGCTGGGGGAGACTCAAAGCTCCCCAAAAGCAGAGCTCCGGGGTAGGAAGGAGCCAGCACTGCCCACCCTCACCAAAACCCCCTGATTTCCACTCCTACCAAAGCGTCCTGATCTGCTTTGGATCACACTCCTCGATTTCCACGCCTGCGATTCCTCCCTCCATCCCCCTCCCCTCCCCGCGCTGATCTCCAGCCCGACAGCCCCTGACAGCCCCTGACAGCCCCCAGAGTCCCTCCCTTCCCTCTTCCCTTTCTTTCCCAGCCGATCCATCCCCTGCCCGCGCCAGGGGGGATTCACGGCAGCGCCAGGGACCAATCCCTGCCTCCTTATAAGGACCGAGCGAAGGAATCTCCGGCGCTGTCCGGGAAACTCGATCCCTCCTCGGGATGGAGGCACCAAAACCAGCCCCCGCTGTCCCTGCCCGAGAGAGGAGCCGGGTTTTGAACGATTTGAAACAACCCTGGCAGGGCCGGGCAGGGGAAGGGGGGGGAGAGAAAACCCCTTCCTCGTGGCCCAGATCATAAAGGACATAAATATGTCGGCGGCAGCAACATTATCAATATTTTCCTGCTTAAGGCATCGATTGATTCCACACGCCAGGGGCAGGGCCGGCTTTCTTCTCACCAGCCTGGCTTTTGGGAAGTGATTGATTCGTTTTTGTTGCTGATGGATCAAGAATTCTGCTGCTGGGAGGAAATGAATGTCAAACCCATGGTGGCAGGGACAGGGCAGGGGCTGGGGGGGAAGCAGCACTGGGGGAGGAGAGGATTCTTTTCCCTTGGCTTTCTGCTGTTTTTTGTTTTTAATTCGGGGGTGGAGATTTATTTTAATTGCTCCAGTGCTTAGGCAGGATAAAATAAGATAAAAGGAGCTGATAGAATAAGATGGGGATAAACAGAATACAATAGAATTGAGATAAATAGAACGGAATAAGACAGAATGTAATAGAGACAAATA